TGGCGGTTCTGCACTGATTACCGGGCCCTCAATGCCATTACTATCAAAGACAGATTCCCAATCCCAACGGTGGAGGACATGCTAGACGAGCTATACGGAGCAACTTACTTTACTAAGCTCGATCTAGTATCGGGTTATCACCAAGTGCGAGTCCACCCCGCTGACACTCACAAGACAGCCTTCCGCACGCACAATGGCCATTATGAATACTTGGTCATGCCTTTTGGATTATGCAATGCCCCCTCAACTTTTCAATCCCTCATGAACTCAATCTTTCGACTATTCTTAAGAAAATTCGTGTTGGTTTTCTTCGACGACATTCTCATCTATAGCTCGGAGTGGGAAACGCATCTTATGCATGTTCGAAAAGTTTTCGAAGTGTTGAGACACCATCGATTTTTTGTTAAACTTCGCAAGTGCGCCTTTGGTCAACAAGAGATCGAATACTTGGGTCACATTGTCTCTGTACAAGGGGTGCACGTGGATCCTGGAAAGTAAGAGCTATGATAGAATGGCCTGAACCTACTAATGTGTCTAAATTGCGTGGTTTCCTAGGTCTCACAGGCTACTACCGAAAGTTCGTAAGAAACTACGGAATGATAGCCCGACCTCTCACCAATCTGCTCAAGAAAGGCCAGTTCGCATGGGGCAAGGAGGCCAAAGATGCATTTGAAGCCTTAAAACAAGCCATGTCGTCGACCCCAACCTTGGCCATGCCCAACTTCGACGAACCATTTGTCATAGAGATGGATGCATCAGGGGAAGGCATCGGAGCAGTCCTAAGCCAACAAGGGGAGCCCATAGCCTATATGAGCCGAGCCTTAGGAGTTGCAAAGCAGGCTTGGTCCATTTACGCTAAGGAAATGTTAGCCATCGTACAAGCAATCAAAACATGGCGACCATACCTTCTGGGACGCAAATTCTATATCCAAACAGATCAGCGAAGCCTTAAGTACTTGCTGGAACAGCGCATCACCACGCCTGAACAACAAAAATGGGTTTCCAAGCTGCTAGGATATGATTATGAAATCTCGTACGAACCGGGGAAAGAGAACTCAGCCGCAGATGCTTTGTCAAGGAGGTTAGGAAGTCCCAGCCTCCATACATTATATACTTCTCATGCTTCTCTATGGGACGAGATCAAGAGAGATACGCAACATCACCCATATATGGTACGGATCGGTCAGCAAGCTACAAACAAACCAGGAGCTCCATACAGTTGGCGCAACGGGCTGATCTACTATAAGAACAGGGTAGTTGTTCCGTCGGATTCTCCAATCGTACAAAAACTCCTCCATGAATTCCACGACACTCCCTATGGAGGTCACTCTGGGGTACTGCGGACGTACAAGCGATTGGCGCAATAGTTCTATTGGCCGTCTATGCACCAATCAATTAAAAAATATGTTGCCGCTTGTGCAGTGTGCCAGAAAAATAAATCAGAGACTCTCTCCCCAGCTGGACTCATGCAACCACTACCCATTCCATGTTAGGTATGGGACGACATAACCATGGACTTCGTGGAGGGACTTCCACCCTCACAAGGGAAAAGCACAATCATGGTCGTCGTAGATCGCCTAAGCAAGTTCGCTCATTTATTGCCTCTATCTCACCCACACACGACCAAAACAGTTGCCGACAGATTTATAGGAGTGGTTAAACTTCACGGGATGCCAAAATCTATTATCAGTGATAGAGATCCCATCTTTGTTAGCCATTTTTGGCGTGAGTTTTTCAAGCTGTTAGGGTCCAAGCTGCATATGAGTACGTCCTACCACCCCCAAACGGATGGACAATCCGAAGTGGTCAACCGCTGTTTGGAGCAGTACTTGCGCTGCTTTGTATCCCAGCAACAGAAGAGATGGAGCAATTACCTGCCGTGGGCCGAATTTTGGTACAACACTACGTACCATAGCTCAATCGGCATGACTCCCTTCCAAGCACTATATGGGAGGACTCCACCGGCAATTACGCATTACTCAACCGGCACATCATCTGTCCATGAGGTCGACAAAGCATTGGAGACAAGGGACAACATCCTCAAACAACTAAAGTCTCACCTGTAGGCGGCTATTAATCGCATGAAGCAAATAGCGGACTCAAAGAGAAGGGAGGTTGTTTATCAAGAAGGCGATTTTGTATTGCTTAAGCTCCAGCCATATCGCCAGCACACTACTTATAAAAGAGCCCACCACAAACTCGCCAGCAAGTACTTCGGCCTGTACCGAGTGAAGGAGAAGA